GACCTGTCTGACCGCAAAACGTGTCTAAGACCTCAATACCTGTAGATGCTGATTTGAGTGTGTACCATGGAAAGATTGTTCCATCAGCAAAGCGGCTTTTGAAGTCCCGATGCACATACCGGATGCCTCTGTAAACATAGGGCTGGCCCTCTGGTGGCTTGTAAGAGGGAAGTTGCTTCAAAGCCTCATCAATGAACTTGGTGAAATTCAAGGCTGCAATGACTTTTATTTCAGAATCTGTGTTGCTTCTCTCCTTGCTGTTGAGGATGCCGTGCACCGCACCGTAGATGGATGGTTCTGCGAGTGTGTAGGCATGAATTCCCAAGGCAAATTCCATGAAGTCCTTTCGGTCAGGCTCGGCTTGTGTCAGGCACAAAAGCTTGCTTGGGTTTCAATACCCTAATGTAATAATCTGAACCTGAATTGTGCTCTTGAATGTAATGAACCTGAACCACCTATACAGGCCCCACCCACATCACTGAAACAGTGTCCACTGTAGCTGAATCATCACGCAGCTACGATAGTCTGAAAGGATCTAAAAGTTTACAAACAACTTTGCACTATGCTGCATGTGCTTGTACTACCTATCCGTGAGTTCAATCACTCCGTCAGCTATGACCACAGCACACAATCCCCGCCTCTCCGAGCCCCAACTCTGACAGCTTCTCTTTGAACTCCTCGTTCTTCATCCACTCGTCTCTTTTTTGCGCCAATATCTGTTCAGCCTCCACCACATCGATGCCGAGCTTCTCCAAGCCTTGCAAGGCTTGCTGCACCGTTGTGGGGCACTTCATCTCTGAGAGGAACTTCGTCAATTTGCCCTGCCATTCCTTGTCGATCCGGTCCGGCATCGGAAGAGACCGAAAAAGCTTGCGCACAAATGCGCGGCTCTATATATTGATGCTTGTCGTGAAGTGTGAGTAAGCCTTGCTAAGGACTTGTTTGGAAAACAACACCTGTCGCCAGTCTCCATCTCGAGCTGTGCTTTACAGTGGACTGCTCATTAGTGTATAGTTCTGTTGTTCCCATTGCTTGTTAATTGCAACACGTTCATTAATGCTGCATATATTCGTCCACTCCATTGACATCGGTCCCGGGCTTGAGACATCGGAAGGAACATCAACTTGCCTCAATGAAGTGCTCACACAACACATATTCCCAAATAGAACAGCCAAGCCGCAAGTCTCATACACCTGGAACAAGTCAATTACTGGCCTTAATGCAGCGTGTCAATGTAGAGCAGTTGTTGGTCTAAAAACGAACGCCACGTGCGAACGCCGTGTTGAATTCAGCAGGGCCTCAAACTGGAGCGGTGCTTGAGCGTTCTGCAGGTGGTCATATGCCTGGCGAAGGTCGCCCAGGCGAAGCGACGCGAGAACGGTGCCCCCCGGAGCCTGGTAGCTCGCTGAGATGTTGCGAGCGTGTGCATAAACCAGTGCCATCTACCAGCGTGCGAGCGAGAGCGGGGTGTCAGTCGTGAGGGTAAAAAATGGTACAAAGGCACTCGCGACTGCATCTTGTCCAAGAAAGTGGTCTGACTGCACACAACTACCGGGGGGCGTCTTTAAAGTATAGGGTGCAACCTCGACCCTTTCCAGTCAAGGGAACCTTATAGATGACAGGCATGGGGATACGTATATGCCCATATTGAATGGTTTGGCGCTGTTGAATATCAAGCGCAGTAAGTGCTCAAAAATCACCTTTGGGCATGCCGATGAAGAATCTGTGACTCCGACCCCAGCAGTCCCACATCGAGGTGGAATCGGAAGCCAACCAGCATCTACTAAGTAATAAATATACAAAAACACATGTCCAACGGGCCTAGAGCAAGTCCTCAGCAACTCAGTGAAGACATTTCAACGAACTCTCTTTTCTCTCCATCTCTGATCTCCCATCCCTGCAGACCCCCAACATCTGCACCCCCCGGTGCATGGCCTGGGGATTGGCCAAGTGTCCGCTTTGGGGTGGATCCTCCAACCTGTCCCGCAGTTGATTGGTGCCGAGTCAGCAGGTCTCCCAGACCTTGAAGTTAAGGCTGAGTGCTGGAACCAACACTGCACGCACGACAGTCCACTGGAATGAATTGGTACCAAGGGTCCGTTCACAAATCATCAATCTGATTCAACTCAGTGTTCAGGAAATCCTTGGTTGAAGAACTGGTCCCTGGCATGCCTGGTGGGTAACCACTGAGAAACAAACACTGTGCATCACCAACCGTACCTCAGTTGGCGAGACCGAATCGAACAGTCTGGCAGTGGGGTACGGTACATGGGAGTCTTCTAGAAATGATATTCATAAATCACATCTTCCCGTCATTTTTCCTAGTATATAAGAAAACGTACATGAAAGTATATTTAAGTGATTTTAGTCTATGTACTAGTCTATGTTATTTGCTAACCAAACCATGCAAGCATCTACGAGCCTGTCACGTCACATCACATCTGAATCTCCCTATAAACTAATGGATGCTCCTTGAATTGAATGGTACATCAACAAAATGAAGTCGGTGTCTTCTATCACATGTTGACACAAAGTTTCCTACAAGTACGTGAATCAATTCGCTACAGGAGCCGGCTTCAGGTCCCCGCTGCCACGACACATGCCATCCTCTGCACACCCCAAACATCCCAAAAATCAGCCTTCAAACACCACCAAACATATCGAAAATAAGCGCTGAGGCGCTCAGCCACAAACCCCTCGGCTCTCCCCTGAGCCTCTATGGAAAACCTCCATCTCTTCAAGTCTCCGCTTCGCCTGGCACCCAAGCTCCGCAAAATCAGGACGTCTCTAGGACCATGGTCATGAGATGACGTCAGGTCTTGATGAACTTCAGAAGGCCCAACCACTTTGGGCACGACATGATGCCAAATGCTCTCACTATGCCAGATATGCAGGGGTGGTGTTATGATGGTATCCACTGTATCCACCAATGATCCAAAGAAATGTAGAGGATAACACATTTCATAGACTTTCACTATGGGAGCCGGTGTCAGGTCCCCACGGTGCATGGCACTGCTTAAATCACCTGCATACGTTAATTACTCCCATTATGTACTATTACATCTATTAACTCATTCATTAATTCAAATTATCCGTTGCATTCTGCCGGCCTCAAGAGGTGGGAAAGCTCCAAATCGAAGAACTGGACGTCACGTCATGTCCCTGCGGCGATGCGTATGCGTAAACGTGATGATGATGCACCACTGGACCTCCTTCCTGGACCTCCTTCGAAAGTGCTCGAGTCTCGAGTACCACGACACATGCCAACATCCTCTGCAAAAACTATTGTTAGATAACAAATTCCCTCTGCAAGAGCGCGATCATGCACGATCTGTTTTTCAAACTCAAGTCATGCAGATTGTGGATGTTCGTGAGGATGGTCCTTGCACGGATTCAAAAAAAATGGCTCAAAGCTGGAGGCAACACCCTAAGTGATATTGACTCCCGACAGCAAAAAGCCCGCATCATGAACGGTTCTATAGATAGTATAGAATTTGCACAGCCTTATGCTGAGACAATGCCTCACACTCATTTGCACTGAATCCTCCACCCACCATGTTCGGCCAATTTCATAGTTCGTCCTCAAAATGTTGGGTGGCTGCACACGGCCACACTATTAGGTCACTAGGGTCACGGGGCATCCAGCGGCTGCACACGATCCGGGCCAGGTCCAAACTTCAACTCATTGGACTTCTCAAGGCAAGCCCAAGCAGAATACTCCTGGCCTCCCACTGAACCGCCACCCACCACACCCAAGTTGTTCCATGCAATTGCATCCTTTGGATCCAACTCCAAGGCATTCACATGGCACGTCTTCTTGTCGTAGTCCACACCTCCCACTGAGCCACCACCCT